GTTCAAAGGACAGGTTTCCACACACCACCCAACTGATGCTACATGGACTAAGTGTGTGGCACTTATCACACAAAGGGATTGAATAGGAAATGCCAGTCATCCAGCAGTCTTGGAAGTGATCATGGACTGGTAAAGATGGCAAAGATTTCAGTACTGCCAGAGAAGGAGGTGATGCGTGTTGAAGAGGCCTCGCTTTGGGTGCCAAAAAGGACTCCTGTGGTTTAACTCCAGCTGGAAACTAAGTACCACACAAAGCTGCTCACTCAGTGCTCCCCACCTGCCCTCAGCAGGGTGGTGGAGAGAATCAGGAGAGAAACAGTGAAAAAGACAGTTTAATGGGACAGAAAAGGAAGAAAATAATAATAATAATTATAATAATGATAAAAGAAATAGAATATACAAAAACAAGAGATGCACAATCCAATTGCTCACCACCCTCTGAGCACTGCCCAGCCAGTTTCCAAGCAGCTGCCCCTGGCCAGCTTTTTATACCAAACATGATGCCACACGGTATGGAATATCCCTTTGGCCAGTTTGGGTCAGCTGTACCAGCTGTGTCCCCTCCCAGCTTCTTGTACCCCTCCAGCCTTCTTGCTGGCAGGGCATGAAAAGCTGCAAACTCCTTGACTTTGTATAAACACTGTTTAACAACTAGAAATATCAGTGTGTTATCAACATGACTCTCATATTAAATCCAAAACACAGCACCATCCCAGCTAGTAGGAAGAAATTTAACTCTATCCCAGTCAAAACCAGAACTGTTACGAAGTTTGTAACTTGGTTATTCACCTCAGCGTAGTAAGTATAGTGCTTAATACATCTAATACAGAGAGAAAAATTTAATGAGACACTTCAGAGGAATTAAAGTAACATTCAATAGTTGAGTGTCTAAATTTTCTAGGTAGATGATATACGAAAAGACGGAAGGAAAGAGAAAGTGAACATGTATAGAGTCTTATCTAGATATCACAATGCCTTTTTTAAAAATCTAATAATTACACCAATAATTGAAACTGAATTGCTTACACTATTGAAAATAGATAAAGATTAGAATCCACACTGCAGTTAATGGCAGTGTAATCATGAAGCTGCAAGTCACATTACTGCTCTCAAAACAGCTGCCATCTATTATTCTCAGTAGAGATTAACCTAATTGTACTTTACTGTGATTCTTATGTTCAAAATGGCTATTTCCTCATGTAATTTCCAAGTGACAGAAGTCAAGTTGATCCTGAGATGACAATCTCCCCTAATGTTTCAGAAATTGTAATGGATCAGATCACACAGGACAGAGAGAAATTTCCTTGCAAGTCCCCACATGAGTAATAGCTGCCTTGAAAAAATAAAGAACAGAGGAGTTAAAATTATCAAGAACATAAGGTGTTACACATCCTTAATTTCAGAAAAAAAGTAATTTTCACACTTAGAATTAAAGTATTTTGATCCTTTGCAATGCAGCTAAATATGAATTCCCTACCAAACACATCTAAATCATGTTCTCTTAGATTGCTTATTATATTATTAGTTTGACTAGAATCTGTAATTTGAGTTACACAATTATCAGCACTATCATTTTTATAATTAAACACAGTAAATAAATGGATATATTCAGATATATAATAATAATAATAATAATAGCAGCAATAACAATACATAAAATAGCATTTCCTCATTAACACACTTCAGAATGAGAACTTTCTACTGACAGCCCACGGGACATAATGAGCATCCAGACTCATCTCTGAAACAGTTTATTTAGCAGTAGGTAGATAAGATGGGGGCAAAGGCAATGAAAAAAATGGGATAGTATTTAAGTTCTGAACAACAACTTGACTTGTTTTCCACATACACGACTCAGCATCACTGTAATTGCTTATCAAAAAAATAAATCATGCCTAGGTTTGTTCTAACTTTTCTCTAAATTGGAGAAAATATTTATGGTAAGCATAATCTAATTGATGGTTATGAAATGATGAGACCATTTAGACAGAGGTCTGATTCTCCACGGACATGCTTTCTCCAGGAGAATTAAGAAAGGCCTGCAGCCTTAACTGTTTTTTCTGAAATTATGGTGGCAGAACCGTCCATCTAGATTAGTGTCATCTGCCCTTTTAGAAAAATACTGGTGCCTGTAAGGCTTTCAAAGATAAGTTATCTATGTGAAGGGATGATTCCATGTTGAGCTACTGATTCTTTTTCTATTAAGATAAACTCAAATGGGGATCTTCTCCAAAAAGGCAATTACATTTAAGATCTCCATCCAAAATATGCACTAAAAATTTGAAAATACTAAATATTTCTGTGCTTAATATTCTACCGGTTGTCCCTAGAAGTCATAAGGTCTTCTGAAAAAAAACTAACCTAAAAGGAACTGACATGGCTAATATCTTATTATTGTGGCTGTGATGCTTGGGTAGAATCACTGAAGTTGTCGTGAACCCGAGTTGGAGAAGTGGAACTCACTAAAGTGGAGCGGTTTGCAAATAACAACAGATCTGTCCATTGCAGAAGTATTGCAAAACTGAAATAACATAGCATGTACATGCAGTCTCGAGAAAAAAAATCCTACAAGAATAACAATTGTCAAATAACTTGCTCGCTGGTCCAGCATCAGTAGTTAAACAATACAGTCAAAATTCTTTTCCTATAAAGAAATCCTACCAACAGATCCACTGCAGAGGATAATGTTATGAACATCCTGTAAAAGCACTAGCTCACAAGTTCAGACTGGTGATACAACATACCACATGCACACTCAGACACTTGCGTGGGCCAGTTGTATGTCAGTTCATGTGCTATTTCTTTCCGTAGGCAAATGCAATAAAATAAATTTATTAACACGGATAATATTTTACTGGAGGATGAAATGGTAAGAGTGCATAATGTGGATGATCATGTGCTACTTCCTTTTCCTAGTAGAGAAACATACGTAAGTCACCCTAGGCAAGGAATGACAAATTAAATGCCTGTCCATTCTTGGCAAAGCAGGAAAGACCATCAGCTGCTGTCTAGAAGTAATGTGAATATAAAACATAAGAGATTAGCACAAGCTCTTCCTGCTCTGTTTGACTAGTTACTCTCCATTTCTCCTAAGAGATAAAAGAACAAAGGATCTCATAACACAGGATTTTTGAAGGACTACAGGGGGGAAAAAAAAGAAAAAAGAGAAACAAAATCTATTAATTACAGATTTTCATCAGCCCTGGATTAGAGGCCCCATCTTCTTTGAAGGTTCTAATTCACTGAAAGCAATAAGTACTAGTGCTACAAAGAAGAAGAAAGAATGTAAAACTGGGTTAAATTGACAATTACCATTTTCCAAGTAAAACTTATAACCACAGAACAGCTAATGTTCTTCTAATAATTTAGCTCTTCACATACTATTTCCCCATAGCACCCAGTTAAACGAAGACGGTAAATTAAGCTCTTTGTACCTCTTGCAAAAATAACACGCTTCAGAAATTGTGAATGAAGGAATGTAAAACAAAAATATAAACTGATGTTTTGATTTTTAAGCTTCCTACCTTCCAAAAACTACATTTCCAATTTTTTTTTCATTTACCAAGGTCTATAAAAAGCATTCAAAACTAACAAAAATAATGCAACAGTGTGAGTTGGTTACACTAAGTAGACCATCTCAAGGGCAGCTACCTATATTTGAAAACTTACTATTTCCTGTTATGAGATGGTCTATAGTAATTGAACAGTTACTGCTTAAGCTGCACTTCTCTAAACAATAAACTGAAGAAGCCAAATATAATTTCATTTTATGTCTCCACCAGCTGACACATCCTATGGAATTCATGGTATATACTGAGAGTAATCAGAAATACTTTGTTTAGCTTTCAGACATATAAGCAAAGGGATACAAGTTCTGCTATATTGTTTTGACTTCATGTTGGTGTACCAGGATACATACATTGAAAGAAACAGGTTTTTATTTAAATTGATTTACATTGCTGGCTGACTTTCATTCTTACACAGAAAGGAAATATAAATGTTATTTATGCTGATAATAGTGAGTAGAATTACTACAGGCATCAGTCTTGTATACTTTCCTGTTTTGAGATTCAGATTACAAAAATAACAAATTCAATTTTTTTAAAATAAATCAAATCATGCCTCTAGATATGATTGCTATTATTATTGCTTATAAATAGCTATTTATATCAAGGAAAATACAGGCAATAGCCATCTACCCTCTATATCAAAACAGGCTGTTTTCCTCATGGGAATTTAAAATGAGAATGTTGGCAGTCAGGAAGTGTTGAAAGGAAGGGAAGGAGAGGAAGGAAGGGAAGGAGAGGGAAGGAGGGGGAGAAGGAGGGAGGGAGGGAGGCAGGCAGGCAGGAAGGAAGGATAGAGAAAGAGAGAGAGAGAGAGAGAAAGAAGGGGAAGAGAGAGGAGGGGGTAAAGAGGGAAAGAGAGAGAGGGAGAACGGGAACATCTAAAACATGAAGGATTAAATGCAATTTTCTTAATGGCCTCTAACATGCAGGCTGAAGGAAGTAAAGTTTACGAGCAGAGTATAAGGAGAGTCTCAAGAAGTGGCCTGCAAATTTGATATTTGACAGATAAATCAGAGATTAACATTGCTCTGTTATTAATACTTTGCATAATTATTCACAATTAGCTTGAGATTGATGGAGTCACAGAAGTCTTAAAATGGAAAAAAAAAATTAATACTTGTAATCAATCAGCTATTGCTCTTGATACACATTCACCCCAAACTTGATAGAAAGCAGACAAGACCTTCAGTACAACCACGATTTTACCCTTCCTAACAATCTGAACAAGTCACATATATTTGAAAATGCATTCAGTGATCTAGCTAACATCTAAAGGCAGTTCAACAATCATTTCACTTACTGGACTGAAATAAACCTTAAACTGAATTGTGGCACAGTTATGCAGAAAAATCTCCATTTTCATGTACATGCTTTATGTATTAAAGGTATCTCAGTACACTGTGTACAGCAGCATAAGAAAATGGATCTTACCACTGCAGCTGGAACTTGAGGCATTTTTGCAGCTGGTGTTCCTGGGCGTGGGTAAAACTGATTAATAAACAAGCTCGGAAACCTGTACTGTTCTACAAGTTTCATTGTTTCTTGAAAATCTTCATCTGTCTCTCCTGGAAACCCACAAATGATGTCTGTAGCAATTGTTATTCCAGGCACTCTGCAAAGAAAGTACAAAGGAAAACTTAACCAAGGAATGTAAAAGTCTTCCTCCCTTAAAAGCTCATTTACACAGACTCATAACTCTTCAACTTTAGCTACAGAAATTAAGACCTAAAATGATTTTTGGAAAAAAAAAAAAGATTTTAACACCATGGCTTGGTAATGAAGGATGTATTTGGTACTCAGTTGAGAGTGAATGGAATAGAAGAAAGATATTGCAGCAAATATTGGATTAGGATTGTGACAGAAGAGGGAAAACATCTGGATCAACACTTCCTTCATTCGAAATTAGAGGTGATCAGCAGAGCTCATTATTTCTTGAATTCTAATTGTTTAATACATAACATTTAAACTGTTTGAGACTTAGGTGCTAGAAAATGTCAACCATTTAATGTTTTACATCTGCTATCAGAGTAGAACAGGGTATCCAAAAGAGGGGACTGGCATGTCACATAACCCAGCAAATTCAAACAAAATTGGCTTATGAGCAAAAAAGACATCTCTTAGTCCAAATTTAATTTCTAACTCAGTACTCTATAAAATCAGCCTATGCCTTTCTTCAAAAGAAAAACAAAAAAGTTCACAAATGCACAAATGTTATTTAAGCAAGGTCAACATTTGCTAACCGTTCCTCTTGGACTGAATATGCAGAACCCACACAGCACACAGTAGCTCAAGAGAGAGCAGCTAACAAGAGGCAGCCACTACACACAGGAGGTAGCACAGAAGGATGTACCAAAGGAGGTGAAGTAAGGGGGCCTTAGCTGAAATTGTGCCACAGTAACAGTCTTGGACATGGTGGTAACAGGTCACTGAGTGTTTTCCCCAGCAGACATTGGAGCAGCTGTCAAGGCTTGCACCCCAACTGGGCTTCAGATGGTGGATGCAGGCTTCAGAGAGTCCTTGAGGGCTCTCTCTAAAACCAGGAGAGATGACCTTCTGTCCTGCAGGAGCTGTGCATTTTGGAGGAGCTGTGTCTCCAAGTCGAGGAGTTACAGAAGGTTGTGCAACATCAGAGAAGATGAAAAGGAGATGGCAGTGCTAGGTTAATGGTTGGACTTGATAACCTTAGAGGTCTTCTTCAACCTTAATGATTCTATAATTCTCTGCAACTCAATAGTTTGAGGAGCCCCTTGATTGCAGTACAGAAGCAGGTCAATGCCCACTACCAAGAGAAGCAAGAACTCTGGAGAAGGGGAAGGATGGAAGCTGGTGACTTCTGACACTAAGAGGAAGGATCTTCACCAATCTAAGGGCTTGCAACTGCAAAATATGCTCATCACCCTTAAAGTTGAAGTGGAGGTAGATGTGATGACAAGCAAAGTATCTGGCCCACCTAACCCCTAAACCATGCAAATCTACCAGGAAGAAGCACTGAGTCACCATAATGGGTGATTCCCCGCTGTGGCAGACACATGCACTCACTCATGTGTTAACCCAAACAACCACCTTGAGAGGTTTGCTGTCTGCCAGGGGCAAAGATCCAGGATGCTGTGGGGTTTATCTGGCCCTTTGACTGCTACTGTCCACTGTTACTTCATGTGAGCACAAATGATCCTGTAAGCAGAAACCTGGACAGTATTCCAGAAGTGATTCCAGAGCTCTTGGGGGCGGTAGTCAAGGACACGGGGCTGAAGTGATGCTCCTCATCAGGAAGCACTTTTTGACTGAGAGTGACTAAGCACATGTTGCTCTGGGAGGTCATGGAGTCTCCCTCCTTGCAGATATTCAAAAGCCATCTCATAATGGTCCTGTGCAACTGGCTGTAGGTGGCCCTGTTGGACCAGGGGGGTTGGACAAAATGAGCTCCAGAGGTCCCTGTCAACTTCAACCCTCCTGTATTTCTATGACATGGCCATAAAAAATGAGTCCTACAACCAAGAGATTACTGCATAGTACTTCCAGAATACCCTATGGGACCCAGGAGATATCAACTCAGTTTTCCAAATCTGACACTAGTCAGCTGGATGACCACTGCCTTGGGAGAGACTGTAAAGCCACAGCACTGTTCTGTATTCGGCCTGCTTGTGTAGAATGGGAATAATGGTAACATCTTCTGCTGAGAGGCAGAAACATATAGTGCTCAGTGCTCCCTTCTGACATAGATGGGACTACTTCCACAAAGCAGAGTTGATTCTACACTGTCAGTAATGACAATGGAGAAAATATGATTTATGAGGAAAAGTAAGAACTCTATAAAGACATTTGTGGTATGTGACTTAAAACTGTCCCTGTTTCAAGTGAGGGAATAGATGAGATATCTTCCAAAGGTCTCTCTCAACCTAAATAATTCTACAGTTCTTAGGTAGGCAAGGGAACAGGTGAAAGAGATTCCTTTAGGGGTGAATGGCAGAAGGAGAACTGTCACAACCAAAGCTCACACCTGAGCTTAAGAAGGGATCTCCAAGACTGTCCCCAACATAAAGAAATGGCTGGAAGGCTTCTATTCCCCTCATCAGGACAAGAGAATGCAGAACTGTAAATACCAATGCATGTAGTTCAAATGACATTTACAGAGCATTTGAATAGCCAAAGAGAGCTATCATTTCCTATTATACAGTACACCACCACAGAAAAAAAAAATAATGCTGTGATTACAGTGGGTGAAGAAATTTGAGTTTGAATAACTGAAAGAAACAGTTCCTGAAACAATGAGCTCTACTGGAAAAGGTGAATCTGTTTGCAAAAGATCCAAGAAAAGGGAAGCAGAGAATACTGTTCTTATTAATTTGATTAGGTGCAATATTAGAGCATAGTTTATATTCACCACAACGGCCTTCACACAAACAGTACATGGTAGTAAATATATCCTAGTTTGTTTTGGTTTTTAACTTATATAATTTTTTGTTTTGTTTAAGTATTGGCAATAAATTTATACTAAAGCAAATGTCTTGTCCTCCTTTTAATACATGTCTGCATATATAGGTAGCAGCATGGGAATTTGTAAGACATATTATTAGAAATTTCTTCCACATTCTCCTTATGAAAAATCCCCCCCAAAGAAACCAAATTCTATCAATTTCTTTCTGTGTTGATGAATTCAGACTCCACCATTTGAGATGAAGTTAAAAGATGGCATTTGAATGACAAATCAAAACCAGTAAAAAACTGAATATTTTCAAGGACTTGGTTCACTGACCATAAGTGGTAAACACAGGCTGAATATTGTACAGAACAGCAGAAATCTCCAGACCTGTTGGCTAAACAGCCTCAATTATCACTGCTTTTTTAAGACTGACAAATGCCAAGGTATGAAGTTCTCCTTGATATCAACAGAATTCATTAGCTTTAAGGACCGAGTGAACAGCAGCATCTTATTCTGCGACATGATTTTTTTCATATCATAAATATCTTGTGCAGCAATAGTTAGCTCATGGAAGAAAGAGTACATTCCTTTATAAATCAGTACCACCTAACATCAGCTGCCATGTCTCAGAATATGAACAGAACATTCATTACATTTGACAAAATCATTATAATGAAGTTATTTTAACCATTTTAATGACACTATTGGCAACAGTCAAAGCATTTATTACCAATGGTAGTAGTAATACCTTCCTTTATAAAGGCTTGGTTGTTTCTATAGCAACATGAATTATAAGGTCCAATCAAGCTAGATACAATAAAATATGCTCTTTTTCTCCATAACACAAGTTGTCATTCAGTCAAAAGGAAATTACATATGTTAAAAATTCATAAACTCTACAAATGTCTGAACTCCATTTGCTGATAAGGTGTTAATTATCTTAGTAATTAGATTTATTCCTGGATGGAATTATTACACACAAAGAAAAGCTTGGGTATGAAAAGAGAATAAGAACCACAGTGTATTCAGCAATAGCAATTAATTACAGTTCAATCCAGTATAACTGCCTAAAATATGACATTGCACAGTGCATTTTTATATCATTGTTGATTATGCTGTTTTCAAAGAAGTTTAAAAAGGGGAGAAAAGCATAAGATTTCACTCAGAATAAAATCCAAAATGCCAAAAATCAAGCTCTTAGTCTTTTTCAAAGCATTGATGAACAAAAATATGTACAATTAGTTCCACATGAGAAACATAATTTGTTAATGAAAAAAAAAGAGCGGAAAAAAGATATAACACAGAAAAATATAAACCACACACACTTGAAAATTGAAGTGACCTTTGCTCTGACAGCCTGAAAGAAAGCAGTACAAAATTCTTTATTACATAGATTCAGATGATGTTTAAAAAAATTGCCTCCTCTATGAAATATGATGGAAAATTACACTAGAATAGGTTCTTGTGCATCAGCCAATATTAAATTTTCTTTACAAGAAATGTAGTTTATCTATTTTGAAGTAAGAAAAGAAAAAAACTGCTGAACATCATCAGTAAGCATTTTGTAACATTACATAAATGCATTTACAGTCAGTCTAAAAATTCAATTGTAACATGCTTTCTAGGATGCAGCACAGAAGCTCTGAAACACGTTGTTCAGTGAACCAGGAATGCACAGTGGCTCTTATGAAAGTGAAAGCAATTAAAAAAAAAACCAGGAAGCTGCTTCAAACATACAGAACTTAGGATGCTCCTTATTAGCATAGCTAATGGACGTGGTGAGTCTGTTTCAGTGCTTCTGAGTATAAAATGACTAAAGCTTTGCCAGCCATTTTAAACCTATGTAATGCTGACAAAAGTGAGAAAGATTGCAGGCAATCATTTTATCTGGCAATCATAAATCTTGCAAGATTTTTTCTCTGAAGACATACAGCTGTCTCTATTTCAAGTTGACTCTCAGTTGGAAAATTTTACAATAAAATCGTGGACTTCCAGAAAAAAAAGATGAATTTGACGAATAACCAATGCCATGTATGAGATAATACAGCCCTAATACTTAGGATTCCTGAATATTCTCTCTTTTATGTCCCTCTGCATACATAAATCCCTTCCATCTACTCAAGCAGATTTATGCTCTGTCATCTCGAAGTAGCTATTATCTTGGGGAATTCTGACCATCCAAGAAGAAGCAACTACTTAATCTTATGGTGAAGACGTGTCCATTTTAGTGTGATGCTATAAGGACCAGCATACCCATGAACAAGTGCTGATAGCACAGATATCCAAAACCTCACAGAAAGAAGGAATAAATGTTTGGAAGAATACAACGTTTGAAGAAAAGCAACATCTTACCCTCTACCTAAGGAAGAACCAAGTCAGCCACTTGGGGCACTCTACTTTCCAAAGGAATGACTGATGCCTGGAAGGCACGTTGTGGTTAAGTAAAGCATGTGCTGTGGGTAACTGCGGCCCTGAGAATTGCCTCCTCACAGCTCACAGGTATCTGAGCTCGAAACAAGTGCAGAAAAATAAATCAGTCTGAGGTGAGCTCTGTGCTAGTACAGGTAGTTCCTGGAGGTCTGTTTGCTCAGGTATCTCTATGGTGTTATCAATAACCAGAACGCAGTGCAGGCATACCCTTAACAGTGCAGTTACCTGCTCTTTTCTGCCCAGGGGAGAAAACAGACACTGAAAAAGCAGTGCCAGGGAAGTATAGGAGATATTACAGCAACAGTCACCACGGACTGATTCACCAATAAGGGGAGTTAAAGAACTCTTGATGGAAGATAAGTTGGGAGTGAAACGCAAAATTCCTAGTTATTTCATTTAAGAAAGAGATAAAAGTGTTGAGCTGCCAAAAAAAAAGCAGGAAGTCCCCTCTTCCCCCCCCCCCCCCCGTTTTCACAGAGTAAGACTTCTAAGAAAGCAGTAGCAAAATTGTGAAACTTTGTGGGATTCACTTGTTACTTGGATTATTTCATGTGGTTCTAGTTACACAAAACGTTTCCTTTAGCAATAACCATTACAAACCAAATCCATACTCAGAGAAGAAATTATGTAAAGAAGTTAAAATTATCACCTTCAGCTACTCCCATGACCACTTGAAATTCTTTTGCATGATCACATATTCTTCTCACTTCCATTTCAGCTATTAACATTTAAATCCAGAAATTACTTAAAGCCACCAATTTGCTCCTAAGCAAGATCACCCACCTCCACCCCTCAAAGCATAACAAAATACTGGATTAGAATAAATAATTATATGAATAAATTTAAAACACTATATGGTCTTACAGAAGGGTATGAGAACTGCCTGGGTAATCTATAGTAATTAAGGTCAAACCAAAAAATGTGATGATCTAGCAACTTCTTGGTTCGTAAGTTAGAAATTTGCATTGAAAAAATGTTAGGGAAAAAGAGTGTAATTCCCACGAAAATAAAACCAGTCCTCTCTGATATGCTATTTCAGCATCACAAATTATTTTACATTTTAGAACATTTCTGCAGTATATCCCCATTTAGAGAACATGGAAATGAAATGAGGTTAATGGATGAAATAATTTGAAGGTATGTGAGTTAGTCTTTCAAGTATATTTACAGAACCTAACAGGCACTGTGCCATTTTGTGTTGGAGCTGAAGGAGATGTTTGCATCTTCCCCATGACCACACACAGTCCTCCAAAAGCCCTTTTCCCCCCTCTTTCTCTTTTCTCTACAAGGCCTAGTCTTGTGGGATTTCTGACTTCAACTTGAATTGCTCACTGCAGAGTCACACGAGCTGGAGCTCGCACAAGAGAAACAGACTGCTCAGCTGGAAGCACTGCCTCTTTCAAAGGCTAGTAACAACATGAAACTTCACCCTGCTCCTCTCTTGACTATATGGAGATTAACCTGAGAAATAAGCCATGGAAAAATCCCCACACTTTTAGAAAGGAATTCAGTCTGCTTCTGTTCTGAAATCCTCCTGCACTTCTCTCTTTTTTTTCCACGAACTATAAATGCAGCACAGGTCAATATACTCCTAATTTAAGTCTCTGGAGTTACAGGACTAAACCTGAAAATAAGTTCTGAAGCAGGGGGTTTTCCATCCTTTTCAGTTTACGATTTACCCTAAGTTACACAATGGATGAACAGGCTTCTAATAAATGGATATCCACTGACTATGTTTTTCTTAGTAATCTTTTCCATATGTGTTTAAAAGTAGTCCAGGATGTACAAAGTTCAAAACCTCTGTGTCAGAAAAAAAGAGTTCTTTTGAATCCTCATATCAATTGCTCAACTGATTTACACATGGAGTGAAAGTGGAAAGTATGTTGGTTCAATGACAATAGACATGTCATAAACATTTCTGTGTGAAGCCTTTTAGATGCTAACAGACTGAGTCTTATGGCTAGATATAAATTATCATTTGGTAAGACAGCTTATTCAAATGCAGCTATATACGTCATGAACATCAATATTTAAGAAAACATGTAAGAAAAAAAGTAGTACTTGTAAGAAAACAAGCAGTTCACCACAGAGCCTATGCACTTATTTTTTTATATGAAATTCCATTTAATTGCTGCCATTTCCTTTTCTGGTATTCAGTTGCTTTAGACACACATAACGATGTCATCAAATTTTCAGGACAATTATCCCACAAGAGTGGGAGATTTTAAAATTGAATGTATGGCGAGTAGGGAAGATCCAATCATAACTTCTGAAGAAAGATATTTGAAATACTACTATAAAATTTAGCAATGAAAGTATAAATGGAAAGATAGGACAGCCATTTCACAGACTGCAACACAATTTAAAAGAACAGACAAATGGCAAAATACTGGCGTGAACCTGGCCAGGGAGTCGGACCACAATAAAGTAAATATAAATTATGCAAAAGTAGTATCTGTTTCCACTCTTTTATAATCAGTATTAATATCTTTGACTTCAAGTTCTGTTTAACTCTAAGGGTCCTTATGTTTGCTTCTATCAAATTGTTCCTCAGATCAAGGCAACTGAAAAGATGAATTTACTGCATTTTGATTGACTTTCTATTGGAAGTGTAATAAAGGGTATTGAAAAAAACCTAAATGTATATTACATCCAATAATGTCAGATCCTGAGAGCAATGGGCAAAAGCCAAAGCTTCACTCTCTAAAAAAGATTATTTAACAAACGACAAGGCTTAAACTTTTTTTAAATTGTGTTGCATATTAGTTTGTCAGATCTTCTGTTTTAAATAGTTTTACCAAATTTAGACTTGTTTACAATGTGTGTATTTCTATTAAATACAATAGCATGAGATTCCACCCTGGCAGGACACCTGCTAACATATTTTATTCAAGTACATGTTCCCGCTGCAAAGCCAATTACATTATTTCAAATCTTTTAAAATGTTCTCTATTACTGCCTAACACAACACCAGGTTGTCTCACAAATCAAATCTCCTTCACATCACAGTTTGCCTGCATTAAAGCAAAGATGATAACTTTATGTTGTTATCGTATGTAAAAGTCTGTAATGGTTTCATTTATAAGTCAACTTGCTTACTTTCACTCAAATATTGAAATGCTGAATACTAGCAAACGTTTAAGTAAGTCATATTTTGTTTATGTGTGTAAATGCATAATTTTTAATACTTTTTTTAAAACTTATTTTCACAGCTTGGATCATATCTCTCTGAAATGAATGCCCAAGACACAACAAACCAGAAAAAGAAATTGTAATGCAATATTGTTTATATGCTTGCTTTGATTAAAAAATAACAAAACAGACAAATGAAATCCAGACATGACCACAGAGAAATGCTCAGAGCACTTTTTCAGACTATCCTTGCAGATTTCCCTGACAAAAGGTATATGCACATGGGAGATGTGTATATCCATTAAATCGTACCATTTAATTTGGAGGTGATTCATAGTGAAACACTTCAGATTTCAAGGTGTGCTGATTTTGACTGGGGTAGAGTTAATTTTCTTCATAGTGGCTGGTATGGGGCTGTGTTTTGGATTTGTGCTGAACACAGGGTTGATAATATAGGGATGTTTTTGTTATTGCTGAGCAGGGTTTATATACAGCCAAGGCCTTTTCTGCTTTCCATATTGCCACTCTGTTGAGGGCAGTGGGGTGGGGCTGCATGGGAAACTGGGAGGCGACACAGCCGGGACAGGTGACCCGAACTGATTAAAGGGATATTCCATACCATATGAGATCATGTTCAGTATATAAAGTTAGGGGAAGAAGGAAGAGGGGGACATTTGGAGCGGTGATGTTTGTCTTCCCAAGTAACCATTACATGTGATAGGACTCTGCTCTCCTGGCTGAACAGGTTGAACACCTGTCTGCCCATGGGAAGCAGCGAACTAATTCCTTGTTTTGCTTTGCTTGTGTGCATGGCTTTTGCTTTCCCTATTACACTGTCTTTATCTCAACCCACAAGTTCTGTAGCTTTTATCCTTCCAATTCTCTGCCCGATCCCAGTATTGGGAGAGTGAGTGACTGTGTGGTGCTTGGTTGCTGGCTGAGGTTAAAGCATGACACAAGGGTGGCAGAAACTATGTATTAAGTCTAAACTGGACAGCTAGACTCACTGGGTGTATTCTGCTTTTTGCATTCCACATCTTACAAAGCACTCATGGCTGCTCACAGTGGCAGATCCCACAGGGAACACGTTACATTTGAGCTTTGTGACCTGCAGTAACGTGCAACGGATTTGCAAGTGCAGCTTAACAGGTTGGTTTTGAATTTGGAGTCATTTGGAGTCAATTTGGAGTGGTTTTGATGTAAGTCACCTCAAAAAGACTGTAGAATAGTATCTGTGATCAAGACATACAATCTAACAGCTCTTACAGTTTAATTGAGGGTGAGAATAGGCATTTTTTATGACTGTTCTCTTCCAAACCCACCTCCTGCCCCCAGAAGAGCTCTTTCAAAAATTGGGCTGACTGACACCTGGAGGCAGCTAGGAGACCTGATTTCCAGAACTCAGCTTGAGAAGGTATAGGTATGGAGGACACTGTGCGAGTAGGGACTGGGTTGTCCTTGTTACGGGGGAATAGTGACCTAGATAAAAAGTATATTTCATAATTACCATGGCTCACTGCCTGAGGATAAAAGAGTACACACAGTTTTACTCTCTTCAAACAATTATAGTGAAGGTGGCTAGAGTTTCTACTAGATGCAGCCCAAATGTTTTAGAAGAAACTTTGTAATACTTCCCATTATCGATTTTCTTAAAAAAACCCAAACAGTTAAGGTTTGGACTAACTTTATTCAAATACAAGGTATTCTACTCTCCCCATAAACATGAAACATTTTAAAGAACTTCATTACGGATTTATAACTTCAGATCATTATTGTTTTATGATTAAAAAATGAGTGACTTAAGACAAAAAGCTCAACATCTTTAAACTTCATTTCCATTCAATCTCTAATAAATACCATCTGCTGTGTACTTTAGGGATATAATACCCGTCAAAAACTCAGCCGTATTATGAGAACCGGCACCAAGTTGATCTGAAATGCATATTTGAACAGATGTGTTTAAATTACATCTCTCTGTCTATCCACACACATAAATTCAGAATAAGCGTGTGTTGATTTAAAATGCATAAAAAAGGGATTTGGAGATGCATCAAAAGTGAACAGCATCTCAATGGATCAAGGCTCACATTACTAAAGGTCATCCCTAAAAATAAAGTTTGAATTTATTACGGGTTGCACCAGGGAACTGTTCTTGGGAACTGACTTAATGTTTGCTGCACTGAAGCAGCCATTGAAATTACACTAATTTTCTATGACCCTTCATTGTTTAACATTAGAGCTGTCAGGCATGGTCAGAAATAATAGGATCTCAGCCATAAGTAGCTGAGAATATGATATACTTTTCCTCAGTCTGACACAATGCTTATCACCAATACTAAACATCTTGGGCTCTGAGGACCCATCCACGTCTGTTCCAGTGACAGTCATTTAGCTCTTCACTCTGACACAGAAATCAGGCACATAAAACAAAATTATTAACATGCCTATTTGGCATGATGAAACCAAATGAAAAAACTGCAAGCAGCACTCCCTTAACAAATGTTAATTAAAAAAAAAAACCAAACACTTTCCAAACTTGTCTTTTTGTCCCTCTATAATCTACAGTCCTGCAATGTTTCAGGGACTTTGAAGATAAGACAGACCAGTCCAAAAGTCCACCTGAGCCAGTAGTCTACTGATAGCTATGGGCAGCAGAAGCAGTCCAGGTTTAAGAAGCAGAGGTCTTCAGAATACCTACTTCCTTCCAACAACTGGATTTTGTCAGAGAGATGTTTTTGTAAGAAGTAGCCTCTGACAGACTTCTCCATTAACTCATCAGTCTCCCCTTGAATCTAAACCCCTCCATATCATAACTAAAAGAAAAAAAAAAAATCTCTCCTGAGCCTGCCATCTGGTAATTCCATTTGATGTCTCCTGATTGTTATGCTGGCTGAGATCAGTAACAACTCTGTTCACCTTCTTGGTACTCCTCATGATTTTACTGACCTCTGTTCTAGTCCCTCTCAATCAGCGCTTTTCCAGACTGAAGAGTTCTAAATTTTCTTTGTATAACAGATCTGCCATATCTCTGATAATCTCTGTTAGTCTTCACAGTAACATTGCCCATTGTAACATATCCTTTCTGAGAGAGGTGTTGACAGCATCTGTTGGTTCTACTTCAGACAGAAGCCTGTATTGTGCCTGTTGACAATACAGGCACAAGACAAAAATCTCTTAAAGTACTTCTAGAATTTAGATAAATTACTTGCTTTTAAAAAATTTCTTTGAATTTTGGGTTAATTTGTTTTCTAGTAAGCAGGTAGCAAAAAGTATTGTACCTTATACAAGGTAAAGGACGAGAGAGAAATACCAGTGATGGTTGTTTATTTGTATGAAAATGCAAGTGCAGCACTGGTAAACATTCTACACCTAGAGAAATGTTTACATCTCAAAATCATTAAAATACACTCACGTTGCAACAGCCACGTTCTGAAATTTACTTTAAGAGCAAAGTCTGCAACAGGGGCTACAAACTGGTAAAAATCTCCATCCAATACAATCAGTGTTAAAATTGACAAAAAGAGGACTCATACTACTGCTTTCCTTTGCTATGGGAAAACAGAAATTGCCAAATAAAAGATGGAGAAAATAAAGTCTCTCAACAGAGACAGAAACACTACGATGCGTCCCAATGTACCTTCTTCATATGAGAAACCCAAGATTATCAGCGTATCTACACCTTCTTCAAATCAGTATCAGCCTTCACTTCTTTCTGAGCTATTACTGCACAGAAATTCAGAAAAAACCCTGTCATTAAAGAGACTGAGCAATGAATATGTCTTCTCAAAAATAAAGCTGAGCAGAGATGTCATCTCAAAAAGTCAAAGACTGTGCAGCTGACCTCAGCTAGACATTCAATAGTTGAGGAGCAATAGCCCTTTCTTAGTATATTATTTCCCCCTAAGGTATGAATCTGATGGAAGTGAATAACTTGTTGCAGAAACACACTGGCAAGGTGAAGCTTTAGAACATCAATAAGCTAGAACTGAAACTGAAAAGAAGGCCAAGCACGTTTCAAAGACAGGCCAAAGTCAGCAACAGGGCAGTAAAGGGGAACAGAAGAAGTTGTCAAAGAGTAGTAGTATGACAAGTTGCAAGACTTTAACAGAGAATGTAAGATTTCTGTCTGAAGTAGAACCAAGAACTGATCAAGAAAAAAAAATTAAGAACTAAAATTGCCACTGGGCCAGATGTTTTATTCCAAGGTTTTGTTTCAAGATCATTTATATTAATAGCTTCTGCAGCACAAAGAGAGAGGAGAATGGCTGCTGCAAGATAGACATTAAATCAAAGCAGATTGTGAGGAAAATATGCTCAGCTCGAAAGAGTTACCCCCAAACAGCTGATAGATTTAAAAAAGACAAAATTCTTTCACATCAAAAGCTATACAGACAATTTGAATGGACTTTTTTTTGGTCTTATTCCTTTGTGAGAAATCATCACATGAAAAGTTTTCTAGTTGCAAACATTCACAGGACTGATACTGTGAAGGAAACACCAGTTAACAACATATGCATGATGTGCACTAAATTTAACATAATCTCCACTCCATTTTCAAACTACCTAAAGAAATACAACTTGTACCCCACTAGTTGATCATCCAAAACACAGCACCTTATATGCTACATCCTTATGAGAAAGTACTTAAATAGATGTTGTTATAATTAAATTCCAGAGTCACAGCTTTAAGAGAGAGCCACAGGCAGGTTGTTTGGGGCAAGGTTTTAGCAGCCATAAGCAGTTTTCCTGAATGTTAGCCAAAGGTATTTAAATCACAGTTCATGTACTCTAAACAGTGCTGCAGTTCTACACCAGTCAGTTTTTGCTGTACATCTCTATACAATTCCTAAATGTGAATTTTTCAGAGCCTTATACACCTCATGAAATGTAAATGGTCCAGTTTTCAGGGATGCTTTCCACTTACAAATGTAGGACATTACTATTTCTGAAACAACAGGCTTTGAATATCTGAATATGGAAGAAAAGACTAGTAGTTACACAAAGTTAATCTGATATTAAGAGGATGGATCTTGAAATTAAGAACAGAATGAAAAATAACAAAACAGAACAGCATTTTGGATAGCAAAGCTATGATAGCTATAATTATACATCATAATTCAGAAATGTTCACAACTGCAGACTTAATACTTGTAAACCCAGATAGTTTTCAGGACTAACAGCTACACAGAGGATGTAGGGGGCTGGAAAATGTTGAAATTTATGGCTTTGTAAAGGGAAGATCTGGTAGGTCAAAACCTTTTACTATCACTGCTCTACAACATTTTTTTCCTTAAAGAGCAATATTTGTACATGACCACATGGAAAAAGGCTGCATAGGGAACTACTACTTCTGTGAGTAACAAAAAAATCAAATTTGAATAATAAAAATAAATTTGTCAGTCCTAAGACTAAGTGTAGTATTTGGCTCAAAACTCTATTCATACACCCTCCCTACTCCATAAAGATTCAAAGCTGCTATTGTGTAACTCTGAAGTTTTTCGGTTTTACTCCATGCTACACTGACAAATGTGACTATATGGTCTTAAAACTTCAGACCAATGTGTGACACAAGGACTGTGATGTGCCTATACAGCTTCAGAATTAAAGTTTCAGAGGTAACATTTCAGACTTACAATCAATAATATTTCCTTATTAAGCCAAAACCCATGAGCTTAACTTCAAAGAAATCCAGTGTGCTTTACTAATGGAAGTGTGATAAGATAAAGTTAATTATATTTCTATATAATCATATTTCAATCAACATAATGCAATACAACTTAGATCACTGAGAAATGGAGAATTTACCTTGCAAGAATTAGTTTAAAGAAATTATGAAGTGTTCCAAAGGACATGTGTATTAAGAATTATTCACTTGTTCCCATAAAATATTAATTGGAACAATATACAGAAAGAGTTGGGCATGACTGCTAAGTTAATGGGCATCACCAAAGTGATAGCATACTACAAATACTGTCTGTACATCATGGTCTCATTTCATTCATTATATATTCTGATAGCAATCTGAATTTAAAGAAAGCACAGCAGAAACAATATCAATCTTTATGAGAAAGCACAGTACACTTGGCTAACTGGAAGGTGGTAGAATGACTGTGAGAAGTATCTGTTTTGATCTTAGGTTCACCCAAGCAGCGAGTTCAGAGTATAAGAGATCCCACAGGATCAATGCATAACAATAAAACACTAATTTATGTATCAGCTAGTAAAACATAATTTAGAGAAAAATACTGTGGTTTCTCTTCCAAGTGGAGGAATGCGCTTAGTTTTCTATGCAGTTGAGGACATTGGGCAGAAAGAACAAAATCACCAGGAAAACAGCTCTAAAATCTCCTAGTTCACCTCTCAGAAAGATGGACTCAACTAGCCAGGTTCTCACATACGTTATGCTCTTAACCCTTTGGAAGCAGCTTCCTTTGTCTAGAATTGCCAGTAACTTAAGAACATTTCTTCGTAAAAGACAAAATCCATTTAGTATATTGGGCTAAATAGAAGTAAATGCATTCCTTGAAAAGTTTTGAAGAAGAATGTTCAGATTTATACATGCACACCATTCTACACATACAGGACATTACAAGCAAAATCAAGAAAAGATGATATTTTAAACACAGACTAGTTTGTCAATGACAAAGTTAAAACCATACAAAATCAATAGACACTGTTGCCTCAGGTATGCTCTTACCCATTTCTCTCTGTTCAGTTCAATGAACTACTTCACTTTCTGTGTGTCACTGGTTGCAGATGCCTTAAAAATTACAGTTAGCATAGCTTACCATGTTGTTATCAGGACAACAGTATATTTTGTCACGGTCGAAAACTTCAAATAAAATAAAGGTCGGTTAAACGTATGTAAGCTCAGGTGCCTTTTTTGAAAGGACTCTGACCTTCACAGGTTGCACACAGTCACAACTCCTAAAGTCATTCAAGCAGTAACTTTGCTGCCTAAAGGTAGGCTCACTACGTGGGAAATTAAAAAAAATAAATTCAGACAAATTTAAGAAGAATGATGCTCATCAATATGAGAACAGGTATCAGCAAATAATAACAACAGCAAAACTATTCAAGAAGTTGAAATAAATTTTACAAGTTTGGAAAAGATAAGATAAATGAAACCACCCCAACTATTTAAATGGAAGCCTGAAAGGTGGTCACCTGAAACATTTTGAGCTTCTGTGTGTCAGATGTACTCCATTAAGGTGGAGAGGGGGCACAGTAAAAATGTGCTACCACATTTTAAAGTAAAATAGCTAGAAAATGAAACTTTCAAAGTTCAAAAACTCATACTGCGGAGAAATAATTAAGGAAATTTGATGTTGTGAGCAGTTACCTCATTTGACCTATCAGTGACTGAAAGTTAAAAGAGAAGTACTAGCACAAAATCATTAATATGCTGTTTCACTGAAGAACCATCAAAGACAAAATTAAAAATATGTTTGATGAAGAATTCAAAGATATGACAGCACTCCAATTATGGTAACCATTCTTTGGCATCACTGAACCATTAACATTGGAACAGGTAATGTATGAAAATTGTATTTAGGGAATAAGCTTTCAGGTAAATTTAATAGCAGTGTAAGATGAATAAAGATGTAGCTGAGAAGAATTACTTCTTTCTCATATATGAATACATACAATTAGATAAGAAATCGGTACCAATTGGGTTTAGCAACTTGATTCAAAGCACAGGAGTAATATCTAATGATTAAGGGAAACAGATTTTCTTGTATCTAGACAGGGTAAGACAGAAAGATCTGGCACATGAAGTCTCAGAACCCAAAGAGAGTCTCTGAGGCTCCCACAATTAGAAAATTAGGCAGGATGATTACCATGGAAAAGGAAATAAGAATCAGCATGAAGCAAAGCAACTGCTTAAGAACTAGCATCAGTCATATAGAGGAAAATGGTGAACTTCAGAAAAACCCCAAAGAGGTGATAAAAGCCAAGAAAGCAATATTTACATGAGAGGAACAAAACTGAAAACCTTTAAAAACATCATTATAAAAGGACATCAGCAGTGTCCTCAGACAAGAATACTAAATCTTAATATTAAATACTTCCGATAAACAAAAAACCTCCACTTTTGTTACTAAAGAGACAATTACAGAAATAAAGAGAGAGTATCTTGATAGCGAGACTGACAGAGATGAAACAAGTACTATTTTTCAGGTTCCCAGTATTCTAATCAGAGAATCATATTACAATTTGCAGGGGAAATAACCTCTCCAAAACAGATGCTAACAAACTTCTTACTTACTACTACTGGAGCAGGCTTCAGCTGCAGAATTAAATCAAATCAATACTGAGAGACCCAAAAAATGTTTCAAATTAATGGAAAGAGGTGGTTACAAATACTCAATTTTGCATGATGAACACAAGTTTGAATTTAATAGTTACCATGAACTCTCCCTGTTAAAGTCTACTTAAACATAATGAATAATTACATGAGATGTGCACACTATGATACAGAGGGAGTAGAATACAAAAATGGAATCTAATCAATTCAGTGGACACAGCAGTGTTTGCATTCAGACCATATCACTGAAATCAATTTTATCAAATCACATAATGTTCCCCGATAGCCTTTGGGCATCCGTTAAAGAACCTGAAAAGCCTGCCAAATGCCCACCAGGCACAACACTACCCTTTTGGTTCTGCAATAACAACATGAGACATGAAGAATTCTTAGGCAGAAAGATGGATTCACAACATTGGTATAAACACTGTAAATTCCCTGAATTTCCCTGAAAGCTGAAATCAAGTGTCTGGGTATAACTTGGTGGGCCTAACACAGACACTGGCTTTTCTACTTTGAGAAAAACAGAAGATGCAGTATAAAAGGAGGTTTGAAGGAACTGGCAAATTGGGATCACCGCAGATGGAACAAGCTGTATCTCAGACACTTTAAGCTCACTTAGTATGGACAGAATATTGAGCAACTAATACAAAACTGCATTCCGAAAATACTTATTTCATGTGGGTGGGAGGTTCAGATATATTTGAGTAGGTGAAAAAAACCTGAATAAATTTAGAAACTATTTATTGATTTAACCTTTGAGTCCATTAATGAAAACTATTTCATCCTCTGTGATCTACTGTAAGTCTTTAAAATTCAAAACACCTCCCCCTTCCCTCAGTTTCAGTGCCAGTACTGAAATTCCAGGAATTTCAGTAGATTTGGTTTACAGTTGGGTAGAAGATAAAGTAGTTAGGCCTCTCATTAACAATTTTTATAGAATTTTACCTTAGCAGAAAAGAACAACATTTGAAAATATTTACTTTATTTTACAGTTCTCACTTTCTAGGACACTTGTGTTCTCTTTTAGACGATACCTCAATTTTCAGCATAAAAATAGCTTTAAATGTTAGTATTTCTCCCTTTAGGGAAAAACTGAATACTGAAAACATTAAAAAAATTAAAATCTCTTTGGCATTTGGATTGCTGTTAACAAAAATTAACAAATTAACAAAAATTAACAATTAACAAAGCAGAAATGTTCTAGGGAGAAGGTAAAGAGCAGTTATCCACCTATATACCACTTCAGAGAAGACGAGTATTCTACACGTAATCCCACAGTGGTATATGCAAGCACTGTGAACTATGATGTGTTCTATGCCAGCAGTATCCAAAGAAACATCCTTCAGGCCCATATGTTTCAGCCAGTAGTTCATGAAGGGAACTTTGCTCAGCTCCCTTCAAAGACAGAATACACAGATTAGACTGAACGCTAAGAAACACAGCTAAATGGAGGGGTTAAACGTGTACATAGCATATCTCAAGGTAAAATCTGTTATGGAAAAGTAAATAATCTCTCTTCTTCAGATGGACTCTGGCAGTGACTGTAAATAATCCAAGAGTATGGAAAATATGAAGAAAGGTACATTGTATCTCTAAAGACTAATGGAGACCTATCCCTCCTAGGCAGCCTCCTCAGTAGAGCATCACTTAGCAAAGATGTAAACAGTTTCAAATGTCCACTTTGCATATGAAAATACAAAAGTGTGATGCAGAGTATAGTTGCATAAGATCTAACTGAAGGAGCTGTTAAAGAAACAGCAGGTGAACCCTATTCATGATTTTGTAACATTCCCCTCATGTCCTGTGAGACTCTCAGGAATCTGCTAAGCTGTATGAACTATTCATCAATGGATACAAACAGTTCAGGGATTGCTCCTTGGGGTTGTCCCCTAAAACACAGAAGGCAAATGCAGGTACGGTACAAAATAAGCATCCATAAAAAAGGCAATTCTGAGATTCTACATGGGCTACCTTGCCTTTACGGAAAAAAGGAACAAAAAGAGAATCAACAATTAGAGTGCAAATCTCTTTTTTCCTTCCAGCTAAAGAACATACTACCTTCAGAGACAAGAATGACAGTGAACTCCCAAAAGGTACTCCCAAAAGGCCTAAAATCCATTGAACTTGTGCAAAGGTGGATAGAAAGATGCAAAATTTTAAAATCCTGTGGTCCAGAATCCCAGCTAATAATTCCAGAATAAACTTGTTTTGGTGAAAAAGGTAATTTTGCATTACCTACGCCAGCCTGCAGTGTGCAACAGTGGGATCTCAGTACAGCCATGGGCTATGAGCATTTATCAAACTTGCAAAGACAGCATTTCCCACTGTGAAAACATCTCTTTTGGCCTGCTTTGGGTCTCAGGAACTAGGAAGAAAGTTGTGTATGAAGAACACACACTCCTCTGCCTTGGAGCTGTGCCTCACCAAGCCCTCAAGTCTAGCTTTCTATGGAGACAATGTAGATGCTACTGGAGTAATTGAGAACTTGCACTGTGAGTGACTTCCTTGACAAAACAACACACTAAATTTAGGAAGTAAATACTTCAAAGATGCTATTGCAAGTTTCTGTCTTGGGGCTCAATTATCAGAACAATAAGATATTTAGATGCAACATGTTCTTTCTCTCAGAAAGTAAAGGCAGTTTATTTACTTATGAAGAAAATATACAACAGAAAATTAAAAAAGGCACATACAGGCAAATAGGAAAAGTCAAACCTATACCAGGTCAGAAATTATATTCTTGTTTCAAGGGAATAAAAAGGTAGAATGTCAGAGGAAAAACCTCAGGATAGAAGTTTAAAATGAAAGGATAAACTATTACAAAGAATTCATTAGGAGTATCAGAAGAGGATTTAAATTGAATGTGAAACAAGTTTTTGTGACAGGGTTAACAAGTGAAAGCAGGATGCTCAAACTTAACCAGATGTCTAATGAAAGAAAAATTAAATTCTGTGCAAACTTTATGCATGAGATGGGAGCATATACCCTACAGATGCTACATTACAAAAAAAGAATTAAAAGTCCCCAGATCATTGTCATTGTATACACATAATCACAGTTGGAATGCACATTCAGTTCAATCAACAAAACAATTTTTGTTCTTAAGAATTATCTGAACATTTGCCTTACAAAAAAAATATGTTTATTTGCATTATTCATGAAAACACAAAAATATTATCTCATTTAATGTGATAATTACTGTACTTCACTTTAATACTGTCAAGTAAAAGCTGTAGTTTGTGAAAACATACGTTAAAAGACAGCCTTCAGCTTCTGCTATTCTTGTAATGATGAAAGCCCTCAAAATACCCCAAATAATTTTGCATTCTGTAGAAAGTATTACTAAATGATCTAAGGTAACCAACAAAAGCATATTGACTTATTGCCATCAACTCCATAGGATATTTAAGACATAAATCAGAAATGTAAATCTTAACACAATCATGTCTGATTTTTTATGTCAAATTTTAATGTTTTTGAAGATAACTCAGACACTTTCTTTGTACATCACTCTGAAATTCTGTGGCACAGCACTAAATGTTCTGCTCACTAAGTTATGATAAATGGCAACGAGGACTTTTTTTTCTGCAGAAAGGTGTACTGGGTTTGTGTGGCAAGGTTCTGGTAGTGGGGGAGGCTGCAGGGGTGGCTTCTGTGAGAGGATACCAGAAGCTTCCCCCTTGTCTGACGGAGACTATGCCAGCTAGCTCCAAGATGGACCCACCACTGCCAAGGTTGAGCCCATCAGGGACAGTGGTAGCATCTCTGGGATAACAGATTTAAGAAGGTGGAAAAAAACCCTGCACAACAACTTCAGCCAGAGAGAGGAGTGAGAATATGCAAGAGCAACAACTCTGCAGACCCCAAGTGGGTGAGGAAGGAGGAGGAGGAGGTGCTTCAGGTGCCACAGAGATTCCCCTGTGGTGAAGACCATGGTGAGGCAGCTGTGTCCCTTTAGCCCAGGTGGAGCAGAGATACACCTGCAGCCCGTGGGGGACCCCACACTGGAGCAGGCAGATGCCCAAAGGAGGCTGTGACTGTGTGGGAAGCCTGTGCTGGAGCAAGCTCCTGGCAGAACCTGTGGCCCCTGGAAATAGAGGAGCCCATGGTGGAGTAGGTTTTCTGTTAGGACCTGTGATGTGGTGGAGAACCCACGGTGCAGCATTTCATGAAGAACTGGAATCTGTGAGAAGGACTCAGGTTGGAGATGTTCATGGAGAACTGTCTCCTGTAGGAGGGACCTCATGCTGGAGCAGGGGAAGAGTGTGAGGAGTCCTCCTCCGGAGGAGGAAGGAGTGGCAGAGACGTGTGATGAATGGAATGTAACCCCTGTCCCCCATCCCCCTGCACTGTTGCAAGGGAGGAGGTATGCTATAACATAAATATAGAGTGATCTGGAAAGGTAAATGTACAAAAAAACCCAGTTACTAATGGTAAAATTACATTATTCATTACAACTTTTATTTACTGTGTCCACTGGATTTCAAATTAAGCCATGCACATAAACTTCTCTATATGTAACATTTTCCATATATCTGTATTTCTGACTTTTATTGAGAATCCATAGTTCGGGAACTGTTTCAATTTGTATGAATCGTTTTTATACACATAGCTTAAAATTTTTAGTGTCTTATTATAGATATATAGCGACCCTGCTTCAAGTTAAAAAATTGAATCTAATATACAGAAAAGTTGATAGAACACTGGTAGGTACCTAGTAGGTATGACCTGCTACCATTTTTAGAGCAGATGAGCTGAATCAGATATTAAGAGAATGGTGGAAGAATTCTTTTCTGTTTCTAAACCAGCTTGTATTCAGATTTAGAACTGCTGTATTTATTAGGACAGACAAAAATGGAAAATTAAAGTTTAACCTACATTCTGTTTAGATGGTATGTGATGAGAGGGGTTAATACAAACTCACCTATAAGAGATATGAAAGTAGTTCAATTCAGCAAAACACTTCAAAGTAGTAAACATTCAAAAAAATGCAAACAAAATGTCATAATAGTTTTGTTCAGGAATTTAAAAAGTTTTGATGATCATTTCCCATTGTAAGGAGTTAAGGAAATAATCCAAACGACTGGCAGTAACACAGTTTCTCATTTACTTTCATCTTAAATTTGAGCTAAAAATGATCCTCGGGGAAAGTACAATTACTCCCTGCTAATTTCTAATTAACATTAACTGTCCAGGGATTGCAGGCTTCCCTGGATGGGAGAATATCAGGTTAAAATTAACTTCTGCTTTGTAAGACACAAACCTTGACTCTCAACACGTACGTAACATGAAGGTCCTAACATAAAACCTAAGGGAACACGATATCCTCACGCATGGGTACACAATAAAATGCTTCAAGAAAGCAGATAAAGAAATAAAATTAAACCCCAAATATTTTAAACTTGGTTTTCTTCTTCTATGGTATGTGTGAATAACATTGATTAGGAAGTGGAACGACTCACAAAGGTATCTGCCTTCAATTACACAGGGTTGTCAATGCTGAAACAGTGCTCTGCAAATTTGCGCTAGAAACTATCTCCTCTTGTTTCAAAGATACAGAAAACAATTCTATGGAATATCAATTTGAGTGATTTAAATATAGTTTAAACATTTCAACCCAGCTTTTAAAGTTTTGTTACAACAGTTTCTGCATTGAGGATCAGATTTTCAAAATGTTCCCCTTCTTCTAGTCTTAGATGAACGTGAGGCACAGTTAATATTACTGCTGCGTTTAAATTCATAATTTGCAATCACACTCAAATGTTTACATGTTTAACTAAAATTAAGTGAATCCATAGCAGTGCATGCACCCAAGTATAATGTTGATAAAAGTCACAAAATCATGCTCAAAATTTTAGTCTACAAGGTTTCATTTACAAATTATTCTAAACATATTTCTGCTCATAGCAATATTGGTTAAACAAAACTTCTTTCTCACAATATTTAAATTACAATGCACTGCATTCCACAGTGTTCATTTCATACACCAATACACACAGAATTAAGGTATATTATTGTACCTACTAAATGGAGCCATAAATACACCCCACAACCACCACCCAACAACAACAACAACAAAAAACAGCACCAAAAACAATAACCCTTGCCCTTTCCATTTTGGTGTATTTAAATTCCAATTTTCTTTTGCCTGTGTCCTCTCAGCTATTCTCATGCCTATTCTAATTATCACATAAGATCATAACAAACTTTGGTGACAATAAGGTTTAGACTCCAATTCATATGCAGGTCCCAGTAGGTGATAAAATGCTGTGGCAGAACTCCCTAAGCCATCATTCTTCGTTGACTGTAAATACATTATACTACATGGTGGTTACAGCCTATTACTACAAGAACTAGTAGGTAAGGAAATGTGAAGGAAGCAAAGATTAAAAGGAGATTTAACAGAAACTCTATTTGCTTGCTCTCTTTTTGGAGAAAACAAACATTTTAAAGTGTCGTGTCATTAAAAAGGAGGAATCTGTACTGCTATGTTTTTTCCCAGCTGTTAGGAATTTACCATCAGTGTCAACAGTCACACAAGTACAAACCAGAACTAAGACAACTAAGCAAAGGACAGGGTTTATTTCCCTTCATTCCAAAGTATGGGGGTACACAGTAAGTGACAGAGTGAAATGAAAGAGAAGTCTCATTCTTCAAGTGTTCAGGTTTATAACCTGGGTTTCTTGGTAGATGGTCTAACGCAGGTGGGAGAGGCCCAAGAATATGCTACATGGAAAAATAGTTCGTTGGTCACAGTTCACAGTCCAGCTGGCTTCCTTAGCAATTTTTAGGATTGAGTGTGTGAGTCAGGTACTCCCAAAAACTTAAACCAACAGTGCGGGAGCAGAGAAATCATGCCAGACTATTGTTCAAACCTGAACCTACAATCCGTCGGTCTCCCTCTCTGACCCTGCAGAGTCTTGGATACAGCCAGACCGTAGATCTCCTCTCACCAAGCACTAGGGTTAAAAAAAAACTGTGGCCAGTTACTGTGGGACACAGACACACACACACGCATAGATTCAGCAGTAGAGCTACAAACAATCACATGACCCATTTTTCAAATGTATTTACCACTTCTGTAAGAAAGTGGAAGGCGCATGTTGGAATTTGACTCAACAACCTCCAGTGGAGACAAATAGTTCAGAGAGACCATTATTTTTCTTTAATACAAAGCTTTTTGTAGGAGACTGATTCAAATCTGTTGGGGTTTGTAATGCCCAAAAGTTGTTAGCCCAAAGCTGACTGCAAGTCTGTATGGAACTGTGCTCTGATCTCAAAGTTGCCTCTCCTGCTAAGGCTCATGAATCATCCGAAAGTCAACCAGGGAAGCATCTGACACAGCAAGCCAGAAGACAGCTAATTTCTGTGGCTTTTGTGTCTTGACAGTACATATTTTTTCCAGATTTAAGATGAAATGGCTTACAATCAGCCACTCTGGCTTTATATTCTTCTATGCCTAAGGTGCTTGGACACACTAACATATTTTCCAGCTTGAACTTGCATCTGAATCACAATTTTCCAGTAAGTGGTTTCAGAAGAATTTATATTGCTTCTTGTGCCTTTACATATAACCATATTTCCAATATTGTCTTCCTGCTATGAAGTAATTTGACAGCTGTACTTTGACAATTTCTCCTACTAAACAAAATGAGAATTCTATAATGATGAGAAGCAAAACAGAAAGACAAAAAAAATTACAAGTGCATGAGATAAGTAATTCAGCTGTGGAAAATAAACTTTCCTCTGCTATAGCCACTACTCTTATGCACAAATCTTTTAAAATTTCATGTTTGTGATTACTTTGCCATGAAATAAATAAGAAGTTTACAACTATAAATTGCACTCTCATTAAAAAGAGGTGAATCACCAACTCATGAGTACAAATTACAGACCAATATAAGATGCACACGAACACAAAATTGAGCTTCCTTAAAGTAATTGGTGATCTCATTGTCCCCAAATGAATGTACACACAAAAATTCTGGAAAGTAGAACTACCTGCATGCCTCTTGCATGCAATGGTGTTTTAATTACATAGCTACACTTTTAAAGTGGTTTAACAGCTTTTTCGTATTTCCGCTTACTAGTTTTCTTCATTTACTCATCTCAGGTTTAAAGAAATAACCATTAAAGGGACTGACTGGCTACAGAAGTATCGCTTTTTTATTTCTTCAGTATTCTTTCCAATTTATTTTCACTGAAAGCTTGACACAAATGTAACTTCAACCAGTGCTTATCAGCTGGCCAACTACCATCTTCATCAAAAATTCTTTTGTGTTGTATTGTCCTACATGATCAGAATAACATGGCTTTCAAAATTAATTTATTACCTAGTACTATGCCTAAAATCAGAAACATGTACACAACTAAATAAACAAATACTTTTCTTAAATGTATGAAATATAAAAATGTAATACTGTCATCAGAATTTTCACATCTGAGCACTATAATATATACACATATCTTGGATTTATATGTATACTAACATGCTATCACAATAAATACTTATGTATCAACATATGTTTGGATATGCTTAAAAACACAGGAGCAAATTAAAGCTGAGCATTACATGTCAAATCAATCTGCTATTAAGCAAATTGAGATGAATTAAAGTTATTATTGTTTTAAAACCAAATTCCACTCCCTCTTAAGTTCTAGGTTCTTTGTTTCAAGACACTGAAACACAATGCAAATATTTATTCAGAAAAAAAAGTGATTTTAGTTATTTTGTTTAAAAATACTAGAGAAATATAGTATCTTAGTAAGTAAAAGCAGGCATTTAAACATTATAAATATTAAATGCTCTAAGAATACTTATTTCTACTACTGCAGGATGCTTAAAATTCCTCCCTTTTATTCCTTACTACAGATTTTATATAATTACTTCCAAAAAAACACATTCACGCACCTTCAGGGTGAAGAGGAAAAAGAAAAAAAGATATCATCTTGGTACACTTAAGAAATGGAATTGGATGTACTTTACTAATTTCTACTCTATCATCTAACAATACTGCCACTAGGATTTTGCAGAAGGAAACTGCAGATAAGGTTCCCAAAAAAAGGAAATCCTAACCATAACTGCATACGGAAAGTATCACTCCAAATGACTTTATGAATTCTAAAAATAGTAAGCCAGCTCATATGAAAAGTATAACAATAAGACTAAATTGTTTTTACATTTAACAAGGATGTGTATCTTCTCTTTTCTGCAACCATTCAAAAAATGATTCCTCCAAATTTTGGCCAAAGCAGAATATCACAGTGTTGTGATCTTGAAGCAACCAAACTGCAAATGCCCTGTGTGCACACTAAGCCTGCACTCAACAAGCTGTGCTCATCCTGGGAACTTCATTTACTATAGGAGTGGAACAGTAACAGGAGTACCACGAAAAAACCCCAAACTAACCCTCTCGTAATGATTCTCTTATATCCAGATAAATATGTATATTATTTAGAAGAAAATGCTGTAAAATGTGAATACCATGCACATCCTGCTTAAACAAGTCAATTGCTCCAGAATCCAAAGATATTTCATATAAAAAATTAGGGAGCATATAGAAATTTTGAAGTCATAAGTTTCATAAACAGTATCTTCCCAAAAAATAAATAGGTGGAAGCTATATTTAGTGTCCACTAATTTTCAAAGTAGTCTCTAACCTTACAGAATCAAAGAATACACGGAGTTGGAGGGGACTCACAAGGATTATCGAGTCCAACTTTTAGAATTACTTTAACATCACATGAACAACACTCTGACAGATGTACAAACAACAGAACAATTAAGAGCCTACAGTCCAGAAAATTCTTAATATCCTTGATGCATTTGGCTAGAAAATGGTGACTAGTGATTTATAAAGTGGCAACATTATAAATACGAACCATGACAGCAAAATGTCTCTCCACGAACTAAATGAAGCCTGATTCAACAATGTGTAGAAAGTGAAGACAAAGATTAGGAAGATGCAGATATTTGTAAGAGACTTTCCTTCCCTCCTTCCATTCCCACTTTAGGAAAGTATATGTCCTTGCTAAAAAGTAGGGGTACAACAGCCATTAGCTGAGAAAAAGGCAAGCCAAAATGGAAAGACTGCCCTCCTAAAACAACATTCAGCTTTGTAGAAGTAACATTACAGTAAAAAAAAAAAAAAAGCTATCCTGAAATGCCTAATGCTTGTCTCTCCCCAGTCAGTTCCAAAGAAAAAGAAACTTTTAAAATTCAGGTGGTTCCATGCTAAATATTAAAAATATTATAATGAAATTAATGGACCTGAAAATGTTCATCACCTTTGAAACCTCTCACCTACTTGTATCTCTTTCCATGACCTTGTAAGGCAAATGCAAGGCATGAAGGCTTATAAATTTGGCAACTGCTTTAGGCAAGTCCAAATTTAAATTTCAAAACACCTAAAGACAACTAATCCTCTGGTAAAGGGAGCTTATAGTCCATCAGAAACTACACCATGAAACACTAGGCTCAAGTCTAGACACAAACTTAAATGTACCTTTGTGTTGTATGTGTTTGGTGAAAACCAGCCATGTTTTAACTTTTGGTGCTAATTCAATACTTTCTAAAAACACTCAATTCACGTAAAACATAAAAAACGACACATTTGGTAAAGTGATTAGTTCAGACTCCAGGAGCAGACAAAAGACAGAGTGAAGAGAAGAGTCCAGAGACTGAAGTATGAAATTACAGATAAGTACCAAATACACTCAGCAATTTCTTAGCAGAAAACGTCATAAGGATTTTAAACAGATGACATTTGCAGTAGTTAGACTGACAGAACAGATGTACTAAAACCCATTAAAAAAGCTGAAATCTCAAAGACTTGTCACGGTTTGTTAGGGACACGATTTGCACATCTGCAAAATGAGCTCAACAATGTCTCTTCTCTGAGAAACAAAAGTGCATTTTGAGAAAGAAAATGAAACATATTTATTTACACTGTAAAAACGTGAGGGATTTGTTATAGTCTACTTCATAATTACCTGCATTTTGAAACTGAGTAGAAAAACGTATATAAATAATAAATGGTTCTTTAAAAATTATTCTACTCAATGCCTTCAAATTGTAGTTTCAGTAGCAGTCATAATAACGTGATAAAGACAATACTACTGCCACAACACTTGGGATAGCTTCAAAACTGCAGGTTGCCTGGAATAGCTGCAAATTTGATGATGATTCATTTAGCTGTTTATCTTTCCATGTGGATTTAGCAATATTCAGGAGCTTACCGTATGGACATCTCTCAGAAAAAAATTATTTAGAGTTACAAGTTACGTGCAAATATTGCTGTAAAAACTGACTAACATGACTGGGAGGAGACAGCAGCAGGGTCCACTTTGCTCCCAGCCACGCTACTTTACCCTGAAGTAGTCTGACGAACACCCAAGCAGATGAACCCTGGCTGCAACAAAAGAGATGAAGTCAGGGTAGACAAAAAGAAACACAAGACAGTCACTCCTGAATTCCCCCAAACCCTTAAAAACAGAATTAAGAATGGCCTAGGAAGCTGCTGAACCTACATTTGCTGGCCTAACTCCTTGTAAAGCAACAGGGAAGAAGGGACTCTCACTGAAGCCAGCTGTCCCAAAAGGACTATATAACACCTTCTCTCAATTTGGACAGTATCTCTAGTTTCTTCAGACTGGGCAGTTGTCTGTAACTGCTGTAGGCAACTAGGATTTGAGTTTACACGTGAGTGATTAATTTCCTTCCAAGCCTGTGATTTATTTTCCACTGCACACGTTTACTACTTTTGGTCTTTTACTGCCTTTTTCCAACTGCCTGTAATAATGTATCTACATATGCTGAAAAATCAAGAGTTGATTACAATTAAATGGAGGCTAGGAGAGCCTTACTAGCAGGTCTTATTTTAATGGAGAAACAAGAACCAGTGAAAAAAAGAATAGAACTTTCCGCCTGGCAGAGTTGTGGCTTCCCCTCTGGCAGCCCAAGTTTGCTGGCTTTCCAATGATATTGGAAAGCTCAGATGTTTCCAGCTTGAATTATGAGACAGTCTCAAGTGAGCAGCAGCAGCCACCCACAATTAATATTATGCTTCTCTCTCAGAACACAAACAAAAGCATACTGGGAGGCAAACCCAGTTTTTCCTCAGCATTACGCTATTTTCCAAAACAGAAAGATATAGTGTTTCAGTCTAGCTCTAAATTTCCTTACTTTTTTATTCATCTAGTTTTGGTTTTACAATTCTCTTATCAAGCAGCAGTAATAGGAAAGATGAATATAAACTTTGATGAACACCGTAATCACTTCACAAACTATAAAGGTAAGAGAATACAGTCTGGACACCAAAAGCAAACAAGACATTTGGAAAACACATTAGCAGTCTAAGGATTTTTTAATGGGTATATATTCACAACGCTGATTATTCAAGCAATTACAGAATATGACATTCAGATCTCAGGTTTCTTTAACTAAAATATATTCCAATTGTTTGCTTTTATCAGGAAAAGTAAATTTCAGGGGATTAAGTTTCAAAACTTGGAGATAATTAAAGCTGTCTTGCTCTTCTTGCAACTACAAACATCACCTTTCAGAAATATAATCTATGCTGAATCTTGAAAGTTGAGATCACTTGAAAAACAACTCACATTTTGATATAATGACACCACAATTAAAAGACTTTCTGATATAAGACTGAATTGGTCTCTGGATTAAATTTACCTAGCATCAATTTCTAAAGATGCTGTATTTAGTTGCAAACACATTGAAACTAATATCTCATCCAGGAATCAGTCTTGCAAATACTCCCTCCAGACTATTGCATTAGTTCCCAAAAACCACAAAGTAGGGTACTAGTCCTTAGTCCCTACAGACTATGTACAGCCTTTAAATTAATCAATGCATCCTCACTTTATGCTGTTGCTCTCTAGAGTAGTTTACAATTATATCCGCAGTAAATACAGACACACATTACATCTGTAGATCAGCTACTGACATATCAACTGCTTGATGGTATTTTCTTGAATACCTGAATTTAGTGAAATTGCAGTGCAAAATATCACAGAAGGAATTTCTTAAAAAAGCATAAAACAGGCCTTCTGTACTTCAGTTTTTCACAGTCTAATGGATTTTCCTCTCTTGCTTTATATGCTATTAATTTTGCTAATTGAGCTTCATAATAAACCAAAAATGTTGTCACCTGGCTGGGGAGAGTGGCTCTGAAATACAAAGTGTTACGTATCAAAAGACGGTGCTAGAATGCCAATACTAATTTTCAAGTTCATTTCTATGGTTCATGCCTGAAGAAAGTCTTCAAAGAGAGGAAAAAAGCGACATTTCTAACCTCACAGTCCCAGAGGGTCAAGGATGCTCCATTCTTTTAAAAAGTGAGTTTCAATATAAAGAGTACTCTATTACTTTTGGAGAACTCTAGCTTGACTGTAAGGCGTACAGTGCTCAGCAGGATATGAATAAATCCCCACTCTGAGAAGAAGATAACGTCTGCAGTCACTCATAGTTCTACAAAGGAAGGAAAGGTATTTGCTGCTTCTTGAAGAAAAAAGCCCCACAGTGTTTTGTTGGCCCCATTGAGAAAAAAATTCAGAAACCACTTGGTGTATCTCTGAGATTCCAAAAGCAAAATTATGAAATGGGTGATTCTTTTGCTTTTTCCTTTCATTTTTACGGGTTTAGATGATTGAACGCAAGTCATTAAACACTTAACTGCTAACCATATAGTTCCTTGCTGCGTGGTATCACTTCTTCAGTAGATCAGCCTATATAATTATTAGTTAAATAGAGTTTTTGGTGAATCTACTATCACAGCAGACATCACATTCTAGAAATAAAGGTGCCATTTGGAATCCACTGATAGGCCCCCACACAGCTTGTGTAGGAAGCCTCTAGACAACTTTATGGCCCCAGCAATAGAGAAAGGAGATATAGGGAGTTCTGCTTTGTTTTACTTTTCCTTTTTTGATAAATGGAAGATAGAAATAATATCTTTTGGCTATTAAGGTAGTTAAAGCACATATTTAATTTTAGCTATTCTGGCTCTAGGCTCTGGAGTTCTCTGCAGCAATGTTGAGTTCTGGCAAACTTTGTGCTGAGATCTTTATAGGAATATTTACATGGGAATCTAATAGCTGGCTGCTGCCCTAGGACTAAAGCCTACAAACGAGGACTTTATGCTTTTAAGTGCAAAGAAAAAAAAATTATTTTACAGATAAGCACGTGTTCAAATACCCAAAATATTTTCTCTGCCTTGCAAAGCTTCTTTATACTGCTGCCATATGGTACCAAGAATTTTCCATCTTAATATCTGGAGACTATTTTTGAACAGGAACTCCTAGATAATTTGGTAGTTTCTTAATAAGCAGGATAAATAAAGTTTATTATTATTTAAAATTAAGACATCAAACCAATTATTTCTTCCTTGTTAAGTTCACTACAAAAAAAGCCCATGGAAAAATACGTATGACATAGATTACTATATATTCAGTGACCAGCTGTTTTAAATTTGGATATTAAGTAATTCACTCTTTTCTGTGTGTAAGAGCTGAATGATTTAATAAATTCCCATATGCCCCAACATGTGCCAGCTATACTAGGTTATCGAAAACCCAGCTGCTGTTATGATAATAGTTGCCAATGCTAAAACTATGGAAGAGAATAATGAATCAGCTTCAAGTCAACTAAGACATAAACTGACACAGTTTCACTTAAGATACATGGGAATACAATATATCCGTTAATTAAAATCTAGTGCCAAGAATCTATGGGCATTGTTCATGGTGGAAAATGAATGCAAATCAAGCTGTATGAAGACCAGCAGCTCCATTTTCATCAGCTGTCCTAGATGCACAGGAATGTCCTCTAAATTACACATATAGCTTGCAAAACAGATTCTATTGTGTCACAGTTCACTCTTCTTTCCTACATATCATATTACATATTACATGATGTGTTTTACATAGCTAGACTTCTAGATTTTCCAATAATAATAAAATGGTTATGAAAATGATAATGACAAATTGATTGGTTTATGTACAAGTATTTTAACACAATCTAAGAGTCAAAGGTACAACACCACTGTCCTTAAGTCATTGAACAAGCATACAAACAAAGGAAGTAAAAAGAGATGAAGTAGCAGAACAAGGTGACAGAAATAATTCTATCTCCACACACATAATTTTTTGACAATCAGTGCAGAAATATCCTTCAAAATATGTCACTATTAACATTTTAAAAACTAAGAAAAAATTTCCTTGGATATTAAATTACTACTTGTAGTTACAAAAGCTTTGCAGGCCAGCATAGTAAACATATCAATGATACATTTTATTTCTCACAATTAGTTCCGTTGTTAAGAGAAATAATTTTGAAATTATCCTACAATTAATCAGTTCCATAAGCAAGATTGGAGTCTTATTATATTGAAGTAAATTTACATAAGATATAGAATATAAAATACTTATTAAAACAAACAAACCAACACAAAACCAACCCATTTATATTTCCTGGAACTGGAATATCTCCAGTGCACAAAGTATAAAATGCTCAAAAGCCACATTAAAGACAACTTCAATAACTCCAAGAGATCTATATATAGTATTTTCAATATAAAAAATTATTTAAGAATGTATTATTTGAAAAAGATTAGGAACATATTGACAAATTAAAAGCATGTCATGCAGAGATTTAAGATGCTTATAAAAGCTCAAGTGAAGGGGCAAACCACATCAAGTGGCTTACAGAAAACTCAAAGACTTTGAAAGCTTAAAGAACCTCATTCTTTTTCATACCTTAATTATGAAGTTGCAAATAACTGTTTTCAGCCACATGTTCTTGACATTGCAACAAACACTGTTATTTTTGTCAACTTACTTTTCTTTAAGGAAATCCACTACTTGTTTGAAGTCTGCCACGCAGTATTCTCTCTTCATGTCCATGAGCACACTGTCAGAGGCTGACTGGACTGGTATGTGCAGAAAAGCATACACCCTTGGATGATTGAGAATCTTCGCCATTTCCTAAGAGTTATTAAAAAAAAAAAAAAAAAAAAAGAAAAAGAAGCTTTAAAGCATTAGGAAAACAATACAAAAAGCCCCTTTAAGTTATATGGGGTAAGTATTAGTAGTAATGCTTCTGAAATCCAAACAATACTGAATTGCAATAGCCTGGTTTGGAACAGTAGGGACAAGTGAAAATATTTTAAAGCAATTTTGTTTTAAAAGAAAATAAGAAGAAAGAGATGAGATTGAATTTCCTTTGAGATAGGGATCACATTCCCTATGTAGCACTGATTATGCAATTAAAAGAAAATTTAAGAGGTAAACTATTGTGAAAATTAGTGCTTTCAGACAGCGGCTGTTTTCAGCCTCAGAAGATGGCAAGGGTTAGTTGCTTTCTTGCCAGAGTGAAATAACTTCTTAGATATCAATATGAGAATGTCTCTAATTGGAGTATCCTTAAAGGATACTTGGCTATTTGATAATTAAGGTACACCTCATCATTTGCAAAGTTGCTCCAGTACTGGTCTGAAATGTTACCTCTGTTATTTCAGAAAAGACTCCAATAATTAAAAGTGCTTGGCTGTAAAATGAATAGGATTAATCAGGGGCAGCTTAAAAGCAGAGCGACAACTTGAAAAGAGACGCGGGATGCTACACATTTTGTACAAATGCAAAAGGTTGGAAAGGAAATAAAAAAGTAAAGGTAATAGCAAAGTGCAAACAAACCTCCAAATCAAAGCCAAACCAAACCCCCAACTGAGGCTTAGCAGGGTGAAGGAATGTGAGATGGTGAACAGAATATGGCAGTTGCATTTCTTTAATTATTATTATTTACACAATTAAGGACATACAGTCAACCAAGAAAGTTCAAATATTTTTAAAAGTTGAGACAAACCAGGATCTAGACTGTGTGCAATATGGTACCATATAGCCTTTAATCTTTATCCTGCAAGAAATAAGTGAACTTGGATAAAGAACCATAATACATGCACAACCAGGTTTTCACTTCAGGTTTTCCCTTTCTCCCTGTGCTGTGACCATATAGGAGAAGGCCTGGGACAGGGCACTGCGCTGCCTGCTCTTCTGCCATGTGCATTCTGCACACTCCAGTCAGGTTCACTCAGACCATTTCTCCTTTTTTCTTTGATAGCATATATTCTGTCTGACAACACATAATGCTGCCAGATTTAGTTATTAGATGCAACTATTTGCAAATTCTTTCCAATCATTAATCAGCAATATTAGTTGTGCATCTAGATTTTCTCTCTCTATTTCTACAAGGTTGGCCTAGATTGTTCAAAGAGAAGGCAGACATCCTCATGTCTGTTAATGTTCAGGAATACACCTTTTAAAAGCACTGATTTTTAGACCAAGAATTAAAAACGCTCTCTCAACACTCACTTTTCATCTGACAAACACATGTGTACAAAACCCAAACTCTATCAAATCACTTCTGAAAACAGTTTTGAAAGTTTCTGTCTAAGATCCTATTACATAAATGTCTAGGAGAAGTGGTTACATTGTTCAGCTATTCTATCTCAGACATGTAAACTCAACATTACAGTAACAGCTATACTGATAATGGATGGCACATAATTTGATTCACAGAAAGGCTAAGTGCAGTGAACCTGGCTCTCACTGGAAGCTGGAGGCAGCTGGTTTCATCAAAAAAAGAGTAAAGAAAAGGCTACCACGCATCCAGACAAATTTTATATGCCCACTTCAAATGGAACAACTTGCCTATGCCCTTAATAATTTCAGATGTTCAGCTAGAATGTATTTTCAAAAATGAACGACATAGAACAAGTTCTGTAAAATAAAGCAACAAAATTCAGAAAACTTTTATATTTTTTTAAGCTTTAGAAAATCCTGTAAATGTAATTTGTATGAAGCATCTGATTTGTATGAAGTTATCTGATTTTTTTGCTTATCAGCAACAAAATATATTTCTAAAATACGAGAAATAGCAAAAGGGATGAAACCTGAGCTATGGACCACAAGACTACTATTATGCTTATCTCTTAGTTCCAAGTACTTAATTTAATCCTCAAAAACACAGCTATAAGAAACTAATAAAAGTCAAGTTTCGTAACATGTTTCTGAATCTGACAAGTTCTTAAAAATAACTCACCCTACAACACAGAAAAAGAACTTAATTCTTCACAACTCCTCTCAAATTTTGCATCTTCTGATTAACAGCCTCTTCAATACGTGATTATTTTGTAAATTCTTTTTGAAAGTAATAAATGATTTATCAGAATTTCTAGATCCAAAAGTGTTATTTTATTCCAGCTTTTGTAAGGCCAAAAATCATTTGATAGAAAAAAAAGTACCAATTCACTGTGTCTGTTTGGGATAGAAATATCACATTTAAAAAAACTCTACGTTGTTTTACCACAAAGTTTTGATTTTTAAAGTCACAAGTGTGGAAATTCTCTAGTTATGTGAAAAGGTCGGTTTCATTTCTCTTCTTCACCCTAAAAATGAAAATTTTGCTGCGAAATATGAAGAGTGAAAATCAAATTCTAAAATCTCAAAAGTGTTTTCCTATCCAGAGGATTAAAAAAATGCCCCCACCAAATTCCAAATCCACTAGTTGCTTATCTTACAGTGACATGCAGAATCCTGCTGGTCTCACATTTGATCTCCTTCAGAGGGATGTGGCCAAGAAGGAGTTTAAAACTATACTTCCTCTACAAGGAACTAAACCAATAGTGTTCAGCAGCCATAGCTAAACAAGACTAACCAGAACTGCTTCTTCTAGTTATCCCCCATGTGAAAAAAACCAAACCCCACATCTTCTGCAATCACTGCTCTCGATAACTTTCAAGACTAAGGACACAACTGTTGTAATTTAAAGTAATTTCCCTTGGTTCTGTACTAATGGGACACAAAATGCCTGCCATTAATTAACTGAACTTTCCAACTGTCACTACAGGTCCCTGTATGCAGTGACAGCCACAAATGTAAGCTCAGAAACATTACTGACTATTCCACTGCATCATTTTGGTGTAAAAAGATGCACATCAGTCCCCCAATATCAAAAAATTTGCATCCTTCAGAAAGTAAATTTCTTGTCTTATGTATTGGAAATGCACATACAACACACACGTTATGTATCTGGGAACCCTAATACAATCTAGCTGCTTGTACTTCCAACTAAGAATATTCTGTGAACTGTGAAAGAGATGTAGAAGGTGGTGTTGCAGGGATATCTCATCCCACCCACAGCACTAAAAGGTTTCAGGTATGTTTTAGACACTCAGATCTCCTTCTAGTGATGAGGAGGTTGCAAACAACTCCACTGTGAACTCCGTTCTTTTCTTATTTTCTGTATCTAAAGCTAAAATATGCTGCATGTGCTTTGAATCAAAGGTCCTACTGATTAACTGATGTCCCAGCAGGTACTTGAGGATTGTAACAATTAACTTTGTGAATTTAGCAGAACACAAATTATTAACACAAACCAAACACAAGACAGAAATACCTCACAACCCACTGTTTCATTGTCATTCACTTTTAAGTACCACTGCTGGTCTTAAATTTACCTTTTAAAATCAGAAACTCAGAGTGAGGCACTCAGAAGGAAAAAGAATAATGAACTAAACAAAAGCTTTGCATGATTACATCAGAAATCCAGATAAATCAATCTTTCAAACTTTGCAGTGTTCAGATATAAATATCACATTTTAACCTGAAGCTTTAAGGCAAGTTTGTTCCAGTCTTACCTTTTATCCTCCCTACACCTAAAACGACACTGAAGTTCTTTACCATATAGGTTTGATTAAATTACAGCTACTATGCACTGAACAGTCATACTTAGTTAATGCAGTCCATACCACAGATTGCACATAGAATACTAGATTTCATCACTTAATAAAACTATTAGTTAATATCATAAAGAGTATTTGAAGGACATCAGGGGCTAATGCATAACTGTACTTCACAGTATCTCAACATTCTAAGCTTAACATCTGTTTCCTGGTTTTTTTAAAAAATACATATATTCTTTTTTTACAAAGTGCTTTGCATTACTAGATATAATGACATATTTCAGTTAGAAGAAAAAATGCAATATAGAATTTTATTTCCATCTGGAAACAATAAATGAAAAACTTTCTGAAATTAGATGACCGTGAAAGAAAATTTCTGTCTTTCATCATGACTGAAAAGCTTATTGCCTTTTCTCCCTCTTCCCCAGAATCTGATAATATGTCTGTGAACGAAGGGACACAGTACACAAAAATGACATTTTGTGTAGGAATGAAAAGGTCAAAGAGTAGCACAATTTGTTTAAACCAGACTCTACAAAACACAGGAATAATCTACATTTGGAATCTAACAATGTATGTGAAACATCCTTTAGGATACTGATCACATAGGAAATTATTTTTTTTCCAGTTTTTAGCAGTTGGAGTATATCGGAACACAAGCCACATTACCAGAATGATTTCTATCTAGTCAGTATATTTTATCCTAGCAATTACAGTACACAAATTTAACCACCTAACCAGAAAATCACTTCTCCTCTCTGTAATGACACCACGTGTAACCACAGAGAACCACAGAGACAATAAACATCAGTTTCTGTGCATCTTCATGTCAGTACCAGCAAGCTGTTCAGTCAGTGATTCTTCCCCCATACCTAAAGTAGGCAAAAATCCAGTATTTGAATTCTGCCTCGTGTTTGAGTCATGATAATGTGAATAACTTGCTTCCTAGCAAAAGGATTTTGTCCTCTGCCAGCAGTGAAGTCCAAAGAAACACTCGTCCATATGGAAACATGACAAAATGGCACTCCCTCAAAACTTCATCCCCTTGTGGCAGATGTTAGTTTGGGATATGTCATGAGGGGTGTCTGCTGACTGGTTTTTTTCAGAAGCTGAGTGGTGCCACCACCAGCACAGTCTGGATGAAAATCAAGTGGTTGTGGCCCATTTTATAAATTCCTCTGCTGCAGTGCAGCTCACGAACAGATGTGATCTTGTGATGCAGGCACGGGAACGATGACACAGTAT